ACCAGTGCCCCTGACCCCGCAGCGCTCCAGGCAGGGACGGAGGGAACCCCAGCGCCATGTCCCCGTCTTCCACCCCAAAACGGCCCCGGCACACCCCGAAAGCCGTTCGCTCCATCCCCCCACCCCTGTCACCCCCTCGGCTCCTCTGCTTCACCCCAGTTTTCCTAGGATCGCATCCTCCAGCTGCTTTTTCCTCCCCGCACCCCTCAGTGTGCATTTTGGGGTGCTGCAGGGCCCTCAGTGAGCCTTTAGGGGCGTCCCTGAACGCACCTGCTTGCTTTCTGGGGGCACAGCACGGCCTTTGGGGTGCCCTGCCCTCCTCTGTGGGCCTTGGGTGACACCCCGAGCCCCTCGGTGTGCATTTCGGGGTGCCCCAAGCCCCTCTGTGCACCCCAGACTCCCCCTTTTGCCTTCCAGGGTGCTCCGGACTTGGCGCTGTCCGTGCGTTCCCCCACAGCCCGCCCCACGGAACACCCCGAGCTGGCGAGGGTGACGTGGGGACGCGTCCCTCAAGCGCCACCCGCAAGTCCAGGGACGCGGCTGAAAGCCCCGCGCGGTGAATTTATTTATTCCAACCCAGGGTGAGAGGAACGAGACTTTATTTGGGAAAGGGAGTTAATCTCGAATCGAAATCATTCCAACAGCGACGCGAGACAAACACGGCGAATTCATCGAGGAACACCACGAGGGGCGTCACGGTTCCAGGTCTGCAGACACTTTGGTGACAATTTCCCCCCCAGATTTCATCTTCTTTCCTATTAATCCCCCCACGTGTAAAAATAAAAAGACCAAACACAAATCCACAGCGTCTCTGGCACCTACCGGTCCTCCCACGGTCACCAGCGAGGGTCCCGAGCGCGGCCCGTCCCTGCCTGGCACCGGGGAAAAGGCTCTTCCTCCCCCAGGGAGCTCAGTCGGATTTCTCCTTCTCCTTCATGTGCAGGAAGACGATGCTGAACATGAAGAGGCCAACCATCATGGAGAAGGCGCCGGCGTAGTACGGGTACGCCGAGGGGATGAAACGTTCGTACTGCGTGTGCTGGAGGGGACGGACGGACACCTGGGAGGGGAAGAGAGCGGCCCTGTGAATCCGGCAGCCCCGGCGCCGCTCCCCCTCCGTCGATGAATTCCCACCGCGCTTACCTGGGTGGAGGAGTAGAGGTGGGTATAACCCAGCCGGTTATAATCCACTTTAAACTGGAACACCCCGTAGACGTCCGGCAGCTTGAACCGCACGCTGTATTTGCCGCCTGAGAAAGCAGACGGCGGCGGCGTTGAGGCGACGGGAGAAGCCACGGGAGCCGTCGTGGGGAAAACCCCCCCAAGGCGGGTCCGGGGCGGCGAGGGGAACCTACCGTTCCTCTTCAGGAAGGTCCGCACGAAGGGATCGATGCGGACGAACTCCAGCTGAATATCGTCTCCGTCGAAAGGGACCCACTTGCCGTCAGAGAGCTTTTCGATGACGATGCTGTACTCCTGCAACGACCCCACCACGCGTGACCCCAACGAGCGACGCCTGAAAATGATCCTCGACCCATTCCGAGGGCCAATTCTCCCAAGTTCTTTTTCCAAAGCAGCTCCCACGTCCCCCCGCCGGCCCGCAGCGCAGGCTCCCAGCGGGCAGCCTTACCACGAGATCGGTGACGGTGTAGGCATTGGGAGGCGCCAGTTCCCCCACGCGGTGGTGGGACACGGTGCCGACGCGCAGCACGCCCTCCTCCTTGAACACCCAGCGGGACAAGGCAACAGCCAGCTCGTAATTACCTGTCTGCGAGTACCTACGGACAAAGGAAGGTTGGGAAAGCGCGGCAACCACGATAAAAAACCCCCACACCACGTGCCAAAAACCAAACCGCTAGAAGGTGCGAAAGCAACAAAAAGCGAGCCGGGGTTAAAGGAGGGAATCGCTTCCCAGAGCGCTTTGTTCCACAAGGCCAAAGGAACGCGTCACCCCCGATTTCATTCACGCTTCCTCCTGTTCCTCACAACACGACTATTTGTTGCCTGTTTCCCAGGACTTTCTTCTTCAAAGAGCTCCCCAAATACTCCTCGGGTAACGTTACCTCTTGGAGCCGGGGGTAGCTTTCTGCACAGCGGAATTGAAGAAGGCGTCGCTAAAGAAATCCAAGGAGCCGCTGAAAACCACGCGGGCGTTGTTCCGGGCTTGGAGCCCCGCGATCAGAAGGGTGTTCTTCCCCACCGCGTGCGGGTACTGAAAAGGAAGGCGTTTAGAAAGGCGTTTAGCCAATTTAAGGGTGATTAAAGGAGAGTTAATCACCGGGGTGGAGCAGCCTGACTGCAGCTGGCACAGCCTGCCATTAAGGAGAAGCCAAGAGGCTCAGAAGAACCAGTGATGGGATTCACAGCATTTTGCTCCTGCCGTTTCCGAGCGGAATGAACCCAGGAGATGCGCTTTGCTCTAGGCTGGCCTTTCTTCCAAAGCTTCCCTCACGCTGGACGTTTGCCCACCAACAAAAAGCAAAGAGGAAGATCTCCAGGGCAGTGTCGGAAAGCAGACGACAGCCCGAGCCTTTCAAGAATCAACCAGGAGATTAAACACTCGAGGGTTTTTCCCCCCTGAGTTGCTGATATTTGAGGGACTTAATCGTAGAGGTGTAGCCCAAAAGAGGAGAAAAAGTAACGGGGCGTACCTGAGTAATAGGCTTGTCTGGGAAGAAGGAGTAGGAGGTTGAAGAGCCGGTCAGGATATCCAGCACCAGTGGGTTGTCGGGATCAGCCACCATCCTTGTGGGGAGAGGCACGGTGAGCAGCACCAAGACCCCCCCGGGACCCCCCCCACACCCAGAGGGACTCAGCCTACGTGAACCTCCCCCCGCTTGGGATGCGGCAAGGCAACCGCGGAGCTCGCGCACACCGAGGAACGAAACGTCTCCTCAAGATGCACAGCCCAGCCGCGCTCATTGACGTCAAGAAACATTCCTACGTCAACCACGACGCTGCTTCCGAGATTTTCTTTTAATGCTTAC